AATGCATTCATATATCAACACAAATTTGGGATAGGTCATAATCTGCGCTAAAAAACTAACAAAATTAATTTCTTGCCAGCTAAAGCCAGAGCAGTGAATAACAACACATACATACATACTTTAAAGATCTTATGCATGTATAATTCACGCATACAACGAAAGGTGCACGCATGCTATTGGCTGAGACAAGAACTTTTCTCGAGCATACACTGTCCAAAAAGAAAAGTGAAATCAATCTATGTAAGCTATTTTCTTAACATAGTTATTGCGCAAGATGCGCCTTGTGTAAAAATTATATAAGTTCTTAAACTTTCCTGTAAAATTTATCGTTAATATCTAGGGTAATATATCATTTAAAAAAGCATGCATAATCACTTTGCGTCGATCGTTAGTTCTAAGCTTTTTCGCTCAATTTACTTCTAAAACGAAGCGACGCAAAGCAGCATCGACCAGCTTTGCTGAAGGCAGGCTGGCGACTAACTTCGTGTCGTTTAGTCTTTGGAGAACGAACAACCAGTCGGCAGGCATGCCGTACAAAGCCTCAAAGGCCAGATGAAAGGCCAGACTAGAAATTTAGCGTCGCATTCAAATGTATGGACGTTACTCATCTTAGTGTTTATATTGTCTTTGGTCAAACCCATCAAACAAGGCACTCACGCGACACAAAACATGCGAATAAGCTGCAAGTGGTGCTTAATTTCAGGGCGACTAGTGTATCAAAGGCATAAATACACAGTTAATTAAACTACCCACTTACGCATCACAACATTTTCGAATAAACTAGTACATGCGGTGCTAAATTTCAGGGGGACTTGGGCACCTAAGGCAGAAATAAACAAATAAGAGGTTCTAGTCGGGAGCTCCCGACTAGGGAATACCCTGAACCCTCTTATTCCAACACCAAATAAATTAAAGAAAAGTTCCCTTGGCAGGGTTCGAACTCGCAAATGACCGCATTACTTGCTGTCGACTCTACTCAACAGCCATAAAAGCAAAAAGCAAACAAAAATATTTTCCCCGTTAGGGCTCGAACTCGCGACAGACTGCACCACTTGCTATGCCTCTACTCAGCAGCCACACCAAGAATTAAGTACTTATGATAAAACAAGTAAGAGGTTCTAGCCGGGAGCTCCCGACTAGGGGATACCCTGAACCCTCTTCTTCCAACACCATATGCATATATATATTCCATTTTATAAGCAACATATCATGTTTCGTGACTCCAGCTCTTATTATTTACCAAAATTGCCCAAAAAATAGTATATTGATATCGATTTTTATCGATTGCTTGGAAACGGAGTAAGTTATCGATTATCAGAAACAAACTCGATCTGCGTAGGCACTAGGAGCACCTACATATACATACGGACGGACGGGCGGACGGACAGACAGACGGACATGGCTAGATCGAGTCGGCTATTGATGCTGATCAAGAATATATACACTTTATAGGGTCGGAGATGCTTCCTTCTGCCTGTTACGTACATTTGGTTTTTGCACAAATACAATATACCCTTATACCCATTTTTAATGGGTTCAGGGTATACAAATTAATAAACTACCCACTTACGCGACAAAACATATTGCGACCATTATGTATGTTTAAATCAGTGCGACTTACAGATGAAAATAACACCATTGTTCGAATATCGCTCATTTTTACAAAAACAAAAAAAAGGAAATTATTTGTTTTACCATGGCACAATACACATTTTTAAAATAAAATGAATAACGAATACATTACAAATAAAATCCAATCAACAGATGAAACACACGTTCCACCATGGCGACATTCATCTTTCACAAGATTCGTATATTTGTTAAAACAACAATTGAATGGGAACATTTTAATATGTGAACTAATCAAACACAAATTAAACACCTTAAATACACAAAACTAAAGGCAAACACTCAAAAATAGATTAAATATTAACAAATTAAGTCAGAGTTTGGAAAGGTAGGAAATCAACAAATAATAAACGTCGAATATTGGGAGAGTAAATAGACCTATTCCATATACCAGAAGTAAGCAAAACATTAGTTCTAGGATTTAAGGGTACTACCGAAAATTTATCAGGGACTTCTCTAAGATAACAAAAGAAGACACATCAGTTGAAAAAAAGGCTGTAATTATTAGCGAATAATTCTTATCGGCATTTGAAACTAGTAAAAACCTGCTTTGCAAGAATATCCTTAGAATTACCATTTTATTCAAAAACATTCACTCTTACTACAGACGCTAGAAACGGATCGGAGGAGGTTGTAGCCGACAGTAATTGTAAACGTGAACAATCAAGTTAGCGAAGCAAACAATAATAACAAATTCTGTTCTTACAACAAATAAACCAATTAACAAATATAACCTTCAACTAATATTCCGAGTGAGCAACACATCCCAAATTAAACTTCAAACCCTTTTAAAAACAAAATTAGAAGAACCATTTTAAAGACCCACTTCGATATTTTGTCTATAACATCCCAAATACTAAAAAAATTCTTAAGCCTAACAGAACATACGCAGTTACCGCCCCAACAAAATTTCCAACGTTATAGAAAAAACTATCAAGCCCACATTCCTTACAAAATGCGGTATTTGTCTAAGACTAATATATGACAGAGAGCCTCAGAAGTTAATTTACCTAGAAACAGAAAATCCAGCAATACCGATGCAAATCATACACATCGATTTATATACTATCAACGTCAAGATCAATCTTATTATCAATGAATTTTCTAAGTTTGCGAGACATTAGAAACGCATGACACCATCTGTTGGCACAGATTCGCGATTGCGTTACAAAATGAAAACATGAAGTGCAGTGTAAGTTAGGTTTAGGGCGGAGCGAGATTGCAATAAAGCTGTATCCCTCGCTTTCGAGCGAATTCGCCCCGCTTCGCTGCCTTAGCGTAATGTAGGCTTAAATTCAGTTGTCGAATCATATCAAAGGGATATTCACTAAAGCGCATATCAATCTTTAAAGGCCACAACAATTTTTAATTTGTTTAATTATATAAACTAATATAATTTTTCATGGCGCCCCCTGGTGAACACTTTTTAAAGATAATTGAGTGAACACTTTTAAAAGATAGTTGTGTGTAATTAACAAACTCAAGTGGTTTAATTGGAGATTGGTTGAAATTGAAAATAAAAATAAATTCGCGGCAGCCGGAAATATTTAAAATAATAATAAATCTGTCCTGCTGTCATCTTTGGAGAATATTAAAGAAAGTAGCTTCCAAAGTGGAACGTCCTGAGCAGCAGATACTGTGCTAAAAATTGAAATCCCAACTCTACTGGTTTGATTGAGCTAATGAAAACAGCGCTTTCAATTTTTGGATCATATGTGAAGAAGTTGGGCAAAATTAAAATTTGCATGCACTAACTAATCGCTTTGGAGATTCCTATATATAATATGTGTATTTTATGTGAGAATTAGTGCTTTTGAGCGAATGATAAATAGTGTCAACAATTAATTGTCACTACCATTTCATTTCGCTAAGCTTTGTCGTTCTCCCCTTCTTGCGATCACTCGCAACCATGTAAATTATACAGTTATCCGAGGCCAAGCACTTGTATATAAGTGCAGTATACGCATACATATACACGTATAAGGCAAGCCAGCTGCAGTCCGTTGATTTGTTTTTGTACACATTTTTCGTTGTCGCGTTTCGGTCAAGAGACACTCGCTCCCCTACGCTTTTCTTGATCAAGCATATCAGTTTCTGAATTCGTTTGGCAAATTGGCTTTTAACTTAAATTAATAAATATTAACTGGAATTTAGAGTTATATATGGCTACCAAGGAATGTTTTTAGGATTAAAAAAAGAAACACAATATGTCTGTTAAAATTGATGCCGTCTTAAAGCACTCTATAAGAAACTAGAGTGGCTGATAGGCAACAAAAGCGTACTTTCTGTAGAATGCAAAATCACGATCTACAAGCAGATGATTGCGCCGATATGGAGATATGCTTTGCCGATCTGGGGTGCCATGATCTCCGACACACAGTTGCGCCGAATAGAATCTACTCAAAACTGGATTCTAAAGAATCCACCTCCTGGTGGATCATGAATAAAGATATACGAGATACTTACGACATAGGCACAGTGGATGAAGTATTCCAAACCACGAGCAAAAGATTCGCCAACTCACTTGCCATTCATCCTAATGCCAATGCTCGTAAGCTAATCGCAAGCCCGTATGCCCCAATTCGTCTTGATCGGTAAAGGTATAGTCTGCAACTACAACATATTCGTCCTCTACAGCAATTAGAATAGCAATCGCAAGAACAACAACAGCTGCCAACTCTGTTACGCATGGAGCTTGAAGAAGAAGAAGTAAACTCGCTAAGAATGCAACAGCAGCAGCAACAACAGACCCCACAACAACAGCCAGCCAGATTCAGCGAAATGAGGATAAATTCGCTAAGAAGGCACTACAGAGAGGGACGAATTACGCTCGAAGATCTAAAACTTGCTAGTAGGGAACAGCCATTGGTGATACAGCAATTGGTACTGCCTCGCGAGCTGGCTATTCAAATATACCAGCAGCAACAGCAACAACAGCAGCAGCAACAGTGGCAACAGCAGCAGCAACAGTGGCAACAGCAGCAGCAACAGTGGCAACAGCAGCAGCAACAGCAACAACAGCAGCAGCAACAGCAACAACAGCAGCAGCAACTACAGCTTGAAGGACATCAGCATCAGCCAACTCAGTCGCCTGACGTCGTAATAGTGCTAGATACAGCACAGCAGCAACCAGAACAACAACTAGAACGACCACTCTCGCAACCCCAGCAAGCCAACTTACAACAGTAACGGCTAACTGAGGACGAGCAGCAGCTTGAGCAGCGACTAGAACTACTCAGGCGGCAACTAGAGCGAAAGATGGATGAGGCTTCTTATAACGAGCCATCTCAGCACCAGCAACCTCCAGAGCAGCAGCAACACAATCAGGAACACCACTCAATAGCCCCATCTGAAATTAAAACAAAGATTAATACACTCTACCTAGTTTGTGCAATTAAAACTATTTCTTATACTCCACAGAGCGTACAATAAAGCCTACACAGCCTTGCAGACAGCGCCACAAATCCCTCTTGGCACCTAAGCCAGCTCCAGGATGCACATCAGGCCCACTAGCAGCCCCTCCAGGAGCAACTTGATACGTGGGAGGTAGTCGAGGCACTCAGCAGCCACAATACGCAGCCAACAGTCATGGCGGCTAAAAAGCTAAGAAGTGGTTCAATAAGCTATATTGAGCCTAAACGACGCTTACCTGCAGCTCCTGACAACCAGGAACAGCGGCAACTCATCACTCCACTCGGCAAAAGCCACTTTGCGGGACCAGCTCAACACAACTGCTGGTCCCCAAAGCGCCAGAAGCTCGTACAAAAACAGCAACAACGGCAATAATGCCTGCGCAGAACATGGCTGGGTACACGGCAGCTGCAAATGCCCCACAGGCTGGGAATATGGCTCCTGCTCTCCTGCATTAGCATGCAAACACGCCATAAGCTTGAGTGGGCACCTCCAGGAAACTACAGTGAATCCTCGATGAATGGCAGACACCTCCAAATTGCCAGAAGGCGCCCGTGGCAGCGGCTTCAGCGTCGATGGTTCAATTGCGGGCGGCAAACACACAGGAAAGCCTGGCAGTATAACATATTAATCCATGCGACCTGGAATAGATAAATAATAAGTTAATTTGCACCAATTAGAATAATAATGTTCAACAAATCCTTAAATACGCCCCTCTGGCAAACTTTGTTTACATTTTGAACTCATCTTGTATTAATTCAACAGTTGAGTATGTTATCTCAACTGTTCTGAATGCAATCGAAATCAGCCCTGATAACATTTACGAGGTATGTTAACAGCAGAAACAGTTGAGCAGTTGCTCAACTGTTCTGAACGCAACCAAAGACAGCCCTGATAATGTTAACATCGGCACCTTAATAACATAAATAGTACCGCCAGCTGCTAAATATTCAAATAAGCCGGCCAAGCATAAAATAAAGAAATGTTAAATGTAAAAATAATTGTTAAATATTTATTTATTGTAATTCGTCACAATTTTGTTCTGTGTTGTGATATGCATGTAATATTTTGGTAAAATGTTTCATACATGCCAGTAATTTGTCAGATAGTCCGTTTCACAATTAGACCTATTTCGTTCCAATTCTGTCTTATATATTGTATTGTGAACTAAACTATAAGCAATGAATAGACACTAAAATGCGACTGCTAGCTTAATCGTTAGTATTCGTCGTAGAGCACGCATGCGCAGCAATTTAAAAAAAGTCCGTTAAAAGCATAATGGGTAAATTAAACCTTGAGCCTATAGAGTTAGAATGTACATTAGAAGTGCTGGCCTCACATATATATACTGCGTTAATATATCAGACTCGAGTAGAAACTTTTGACCCAGATGATGAGTATAGTGCTGAGCTTGAAGAGCTTTGTATAACGACAAAGGCTCGTCTAGGGTCCGTTATTAAGACATTGAGTCCTGCAATGCCTATAGATATTCCCGTTGCGGCTCCACGCACACGCCTTCCGCATCTGCCACTTCCCAAATTTATTGGAAAATACTACGAGCTTAAGAATTTTATTAGTCTGCTCGAAACTCTTGCTTATAACAATCATGCGATCCCGAGCATAGAGAAATTCATTTATTTGATCTCATGTTTCTTAGGTGAAGCTCACGGAGGACAATTATTTAAAAGCATTGGACATGAATGTCTAATATTTAATGAAAATATTTCGGCTCTCTTTAACCTGCCAAAAATAACGCAGCCTTCTGCGGCATTATTGAGATCAATGATTCACACTGTCTCCGCCATCTATGGCGCGCTCCTGTCAATGGGTGATTACTTAAAGATTTCTAACGCGATTCTCATTCACCTCGTTATGAACAAAGTTGAGAGGATCAACTCGATTTTGCAATCATTCCACTATCGAGTGATTGTGGAACAGCCTTGAATCGTAGATATCAACACCTCTCTGCTGAGGAATCAGCCAAAGCTTCGACCGATGGCCCGAAGCCAGAGTCAAGGTCGTTTTCGTGTTCTGTGGCTAGTGGAAGAAACGATCAAGTGCCCCCAGAATGTTTATATTGCGATCCCGAAGTCCATTCGATATTGAATTGCTCAGCATATGCAGCGTAATCAGTACTGTAACAGTTTGAGTTCGCTAAGGCGGCTCCTTTATGCACCATTTGCCTTCGGAAGGACACACTGTTTCCAAATATGAGGCGAACAAGTGCAGAGTATGCAGTCCTTCTCATAAAACACTGTTGCATAGATACTCAGCCGTTTCTCGCACTCGATCGTTACGGCCACCCCTTGATTCCGCATAGGATCTACCATTGACTTCACATGCTATTCATGTGAATGTGTCTGATAGTGTAATCCTAGTTACAGCAGTCGTTAGCGCTAAAACGAGAAGTGTCGGGTTCGTTTTGGCTAGAGCTTTACTCGACTCTGGATCACAAATTAGTTTTGTAACAGGCGAGCTAGCACAACGATGACAGCTGTGTAGAGAATGTAGAGAGATTGTAGTATCGGCTTACATGGGATTGCTCAATACAATACTCAAGTAAGAAAGAAGATTCATACAGTGGTGAAGTCGCGGGTCAAGTGCAGTAAGTTTTCGTTCGATTTTTGGATTTTGAAGACCATTTCGGGTTACCAGCCTGATAATACGGTCAATGTCAGTGGTTAGATAATCCCTGCGAACCTGCAATTGGTTGATCCATATTTTCATAAGCCGCAGAAGATCGGCGTGCTCATCGCAGCTGAGACGTTCTTAGGCTTCTGTCTGTCGGTCAGATTAAACAAGGTCCGAATTGTCCGACTCTGCAAAAGACACTTGTCAGATTGTATCAGATTGTATCATGCTGTCAATCAAGAAGAGTCTTATACCTCGGTGGACCACAATTTTGGTCATTGGAAGAGTTGCCTTCAGCTAAAAAGGTCTGAACTGTTAAACAGCAGTTATGTAAGAGCCACTTTCAAGGTAATTTGGAAATACTGCCGTCAGGTCGATTTAAATCAGATCCCCATCAGCTTGGTAACTCCTTAGAGGCTGCTAAGCGTCGCTTGTCGTCTTTTTGTCGCTTGAAAGACGTTTGTCTTGAGATTCCGAGCTTAAGCGAATATACTTAGAATTCATAAAAGAATATTTAGCTTTAGTTCACGCGTCTGAAATAGATGGTCAGATTCCAAGTACTCCACACTACTTCCTTCCGCATCGGTGTGTTTTAAGTTTTCGAAGCGTCCTGTCGGACATCTTCGCGAATTGCGTTGGATGACCTTCTAATGGTTGGACCGACCATTCAAGAGAAGCTGTACTGGACTCTGCTTCGATTTCGGCTCTACAAATATGTCTGGACAGCTGATATCAAAAAGACGTACAGGCAGGTCATGGTGAACGAAGCAAATCGATATTTCCAGCTCGTAGTGTGGGGAAAGAACCTTAAGATTAAACATCGTAACTTACGGCACTGAGTCTGCTCCGTTCGTATTGCCAACAATACGATGTTTAACAAAGCTAAGTAAGATGAACGAGTCATCACACCCCAAAGCTGCTGACGTTATCAGGAACGACTTTTATGTCGATGATTCACTAACTGGTGCTGAATGTGTAGAGAACTTTCAGACAATTAAGTTTGCAGCACCGCAAATACTTAAAAACCCAGGTTGCAAACTAACCAAATTGTTTTCGAATTCTCCTGAGTTCTCCGCAACAAACGCAGCTAACGATAACGATCTCAGAGTCAGACACAACCAAAACACTTTGCGTGTTGTGGTGCGGAATAAAGATGCCTTTCAATTCAAGATTGGCTATTCATTCATGGGTCTTAGAGCGACAAAAGTAACATTCTTTCGTTGACAACGAGGCTCTTTGACCCGCTTGGCCTGTTAAGCCCTCTGATAATCAAGGCAAAAATCCTACTCCAAGAGCTCTGGTGCTGCCGACGCCTCAATAAGAGCGTCTGGAGCATGCGTATATATACGCAACCATACAGCAGAAGGTTGTCGTATTTCGTTCTTGACATCCAAATCAAAAGTAGCCACCCTCAAGATGAAGACTCTTTCCAAACTTGAGTTGTGCCCGGCTCATCTTCACGCAGATCTTTTTCATAGAGTGCGAAATATCATAAGATTAACCATTAAACACAAGGTTCTTTTGTCTGATTCTGAAGTCACGCATCATTTGATTTGGTCACATTCTTCGTCTTTGGTAACATTTGTGTCAAATCGATTGCCTGAAATCCAGGAATGGACAGAGAAAGCTGATTGGCACCACCTAAAAAGCAAAACCCAGCAAATATTGTATCAAGAGGCTGCGATGTCGGTGAATTACTTGCGTCGATGTGATTCGATGGGCCTTAATTTTTAAAGGAACCAAGAGAACTCTGGCCGGTTAACCAGCATGTGATGACAGATGAGATGCGCACTCTAGGGGTACGCAAAACAAACAAAACAGCCGTTGGACTAGCAGCTATGGTAGATCGACCAGATATCTTGGAAACTATGGATAGTTTCTTATCGCATTCAGGCTGCTGAGAGTGTTTGCTTATGTGTTCCGCTTTATTCAAAAATGTAAGAATCGTGAAGTACAATTTGAGAGTATCCCAACGGCGCTCGAAAGGAAAAAAGCTTTTGAGAAAATAGTTGAATTGAATAGTAGTCCATCGTGTTGAATTTAAAGATGGGTCATAGGGTGCAACGTCTTAATCCATTTATACATGTTTAATGGATCTTGGTGCTTCCTTTCGATGCTGCGAGTAGGACGACTTGTAAATTTTATATACCGCCAAGTTGCCGCTACTTTAAAAAAAGCTTGCGATTCACTAGTAGATACCTGCATTTAACGAATCGCATGCTGGCCTAAGAGCACTCGTGAGTCTTCTTCGTATGCGACTTTTTAATCAACACTCAAGAGGTCTGTCGTTAGAAAATGAGATTATGTATCTGTTATTTTAAATGCAATCCTTGTCTACTAACACAAATTATTAACAATTTACCAGCAGATCGACTTCGAGCGCTCCGCCCATCTGCTATCCGTGGCATTGATTTTTGTTGCCCAATTAGCACGACTTTTCGAATGCGTGGAAAGCATGCGTATATGTCGTACATAGCACTGTTTGTTTGCTTCACCCCCCAAGGAGGTTCACTTAGAACTAGTATCTGACTTATCCACTAATACATTTATAATGGCTTTTCAAAGGTTCGTCGGCCGTCGAGGAGTCCCACTGACCGTCCAATGCTATAACTCGAAGAACTTCGTAGGAGCAAGTCGCCAGTTCCTGGAATGCGAGCCCACATAGAGGAAGAGGCGGGCGCAATTCGTGAATTCGCATCAAAAAGCGGATGCGAACTTGCGTTCATACCGTCAAGAGCTCCGCATTTCGAGGGTCTGTTGGAGGCAGGTGTGAAGTCTGCAAAGCACCTACTCCTACGGACGGTAGGCAGCCTGTTGCTAACGGCCGAGTTGCTGCTGACGACTCTTGTCGCAGTGGCAGCCGTCGTCA